CAGCATAGCAGGCTGCTCAACAAAGACATGGCTATGTGCAGGGTCCAAGTGTGCCATAGGCTAGAGACCATTCTCAAAGCTTCTCCTTATATACAGGAAGCAGACCACATACCCAAAGGCAGCTACTCAGCTGCTCCCAGTAGATTCCACCATGGAGTTGATTACCAGTCTCATCATGAGTAATACTACATCCAGCTGCCCAGCCACTCAACCAGGCCTAGCCAAGTTGACATACAAACATAACCATCACAGCTGCTAACCAAAAGGTTGGTGGTTCGAACCTACCAGCTGTTCTGTGGAAGGATGGGGCAATCTGCTTCTGCAAAGATTCACAGCCTTAGAAACCCAATGGGAGTTGCTATGAGTAGGAATTGACTCAATGGCAATGAGTTTGGCTTTGGTTTGTTGTTGTTAGGTGCCATTGAGTCATCTCTGACTCATAGCGACCCCATGCACAGCAGAACGAAACACCACCCAGTCCTGAGCCAGCCCCATGATTCTTGCTACACTTGAGCCCATCGCCGCTCCCACCATGTCAATCCACCTCATTGAGGGCCTTCCCCTCTTTCGTTGACCCTCCACCTTACCAAGCATGACATCCTTCTCCAGGGAATGGTCTCTTCTGACAATATGACCAAAGTATGTGAGACGAAGTTTGGCCATTCTCGCCTCCAAGGAGCATTCTGGCTGCACGTCCTCCAGGACAGACCTGTTAGTTCTTTTAGCAGTTCACGGTACTTTCAGCATTCTTCACCAACACCACAGCTCAAAAGCATCAATTCTTCTTCGGTCTTCCTTATTCATTGTCCAACTCTCACATGCATATAAGGAGAATGAAAATACCATGGCTTATGTTAGGCACATCTTAGTCATCAAGGAATCATCTTTGCTTTTCAGCACTTGAAAGAGGTCCTTTGCAGCCGATTTGCCCAGTGCTATATGTCATCTGATGTCCTGAGTGCTGCTTCCATTGGCGTCGATTGTAGAACCAAGCAATGTGAAGTCTTTGACAGAAAAAGGAAACACTACATGGTTTAAAATCAAGAAAGGAGTGTGTCAGGGTTGTGTCCTTTCACCATACTTATTCAATCTGTATGCTGGCAAATAATCCAAGAAGCTGGACTATATGAAGAAGAACATGACATCAGGATTGGAGGAAAAATCATTAACAACCTGAGATATGCTGATGACACAATTTTGCTTGCTGAAAGTGAGGACAACTTGAAGTACTTATTGATGAAGATTGAAGAATACAGTCTGCAGTATAGATTACATCTCAATATAAAGAAAACAAAAATCCTCACAACTGGTGCTATGAGCCACATTACGATAAATGGAGAAAAGATTGAAATTGTCAAAGACTTCACATTGCTTGGTTTTGGT